GCAATGTCCATTTTTCATGTCTTTTGGCCTTCTGGATATCCTCTGATGAATTGCCTGTTTGTATTTGCTGCCCATTTATTTAGGTTATTTGTTTTATGCTTCAATTGTGTGTTTTTACTTATCTTGAATGTTAATCCCTATCAGCTACATATTGTGTGAGTATTTTCTCCCATTCTGTGGGTATCTATTTAATACTGTATATTTTGTTTCTCTGTATAGAAGATTTTAACTTGAGGTAATCCCAACTATTTGTTTTTTTAATCCCTTGTCATAGGAACCAATCACCAAATTTATCTTTTTTGTTGATATTATGCAACGTATTGCCAAATGTTTTCTTCTATGTATTTCATTGTTGCAGGTCTTATATCTAAATCTTTAATCCTTTGGAGTTTATTTCTGTGCAGGGTGTCAGCGAGTAATCCATTTCCTTTTATGTGTGTCTTTCTAGTTTCCCAAGCACCATTTATTAAAGAAACTGTCTTTCCCCCCATTTTATGGTCATAGATACTTTATCATAGATTAGATGCTGTCTTATTTCTGGGCTTTCAATTCTGTTCCATTGGTCCAAGTGCCAGTGCTATATTGTTTTTACTACTGTTGCTTTTTTTTTTTTTTTTTTTTTTTTAAGATTTATTTATTTATTTATACATACAAGCACTGGGCACAGTTAGAAGCACAGGAGGGTGAGAGAATTCACCAGAGCCAGAGCGGGGAGCAGAACAGGCAGAAGGACCGAAGTACACTGCTGAGGGGAGCAGCGGGCGGCAGGAGAGGTCTGCGCGCCATGTGGGACCCTCCTCCGGTGGCCGGGGAGCAGCCAGGGATAGAACCGGCATAGCAGAGGTTTTGGCAGCTTCGCAACCCAGCGCTCAACCGCTGCGCCACCGGGGAGGCCCTACTACTGTTGCTTTATAGTAAAGTTTGCATCTGGGGAATGTGGTATCTCCATTTCTCTCCTTTTTTCTTAGGGTTACTTTTGTAATTAAGGTCTTTTGTGGTTCCATATGGACTTCAGTATTTTTTGTTCAATTTCTTTGCAAAATATTGTTCACATTTTGATGGGGATTGTGTTAAATTTGTGTATTATTTTAAGCAGGATAGTCATTTTGATTATATTGATTTTCTCCTCCTTATATCACTGTCCTTTAATAACATCTTGTCCTCTTTATATTAGTCTTTTACCTCTTTTATTAGTTTTTTTCAGAGGCATTTAATTATTTTTGAAACAATTATTAATAGAGGTTCTTTTCCTTAATTTTTTTGCTTCCTTTTTTGTATATAAAAAGGCAAAGGATTTTTGTATGTTGCTGGCATCGTTGCCACTTTGCTGTATTAATTTCTTGTCTCTGATAAACTTCAATGGAGTCTTTAGGATCTTGGTATCTGTCATTTGCAAACAGTGATAGGTTCACTTCATCTTTTCCTACTTGGATTCCCCTTATTTCCTGTGTTTAGCCAAAACCTCTAGTAACAGGTTAAACCGAAGTGGTGAAAATGGGCATCCTGGTCTTGTGACAGATTTTATAGAAAAGATTAGCATATATCTATTCTTAGTAATCTCTTACGATCTTTTATATTTGTGTTATCTGTAATGATCGCTTTTCTTTCATTATCAAGTTTGTTTATCTTCTCAAAGAGCAAGCTCTTAGTTTCATTTATTTTTTTCTTTTGTATAGTCTTTTTGGTCTCATTTTATTTATTTCTGCTCTTTTTTTTTTTTTTTTTTTTTTTTTTGGTGGGACCCTCGCCAGCGGCTGGGGAACTAACCGGCACTGCAGAGGCTGCGGGCAACCTCGCAGCCCAGGGCTCAACCACTGCGCCACCAGGGGAGGCCCATCTTCTTTTTTTTTTTTTTATCTTTTTATTTATTTATTTATACAAGCACTGGGTACAGTCAGAAGCGTGGGAGGATGAGAGAATTCACCAGAGCCAGAGAGGGAAACAGAACGGGCAGACTGACGAAATACTCTGCTGAGGGGAGCAGTAGGTGCGGCAGGAGAGGTCTGCGCGCCAGTGGGACCCCCTCTAGCCTGCGGCCGGGGATCTAACCGGCCCTGCAGAGGCAGCTTCGCAGCCCAGCGCTCTTATTTTTATTATTTCCTTCTTTCTACTAATTTTGGATCATGTTCATTTTCTTTTCCAAGTTGCTTTAGGTGAGATATGAGATTATTTAGCTATTTCTTGATCTTTAATTTGGTCCCACAGAGACTGTTTTTGCTGTATTCCATGGATTCCAGCAGCTTGTATCATCATTTTTGTCTCAAGGTATTTTTTAATTTATGTTTGATTTCTTCATTTATCCAAATGCTCTTGAGCAGCTGGTTGTTTAGTTTGCATGTATTCACAATTTTTTGTTTTTTTTTTTCTTATAGTTTGATTTCTAATTTATATCACGGTCAGAGAGAGTACAAGGTATAATTTTGATCTTTGTGGTTTTATTGACTTGAGCCCCAAGATATGACTGTGCCATTGGCAAACCAATCAACTTTTAAATTAGAAGACTAGATTTTTTTCTGAAATTTTCTGCAAGTTTTTATAGATGTCACATTTCTGAACAGGGAATGCTCACAGTTCCACAAACTTCTAGAACTGAATTATGAAACACTTGGGAGGTAATTAATAGTTTTGGAAGAATGGATTAGTCTTTATATTTTAGATAAATTTATTTTCTTTCAGTGCACTAATACTGCAGAAAAATGCTACCGTAGTTGCAGCCTGAAAAAACTTCATCGATATGTTTTTGTGTTGTCTATATAAGGTTCAACTTCACTAAATTTATGTGAAGTACCTTTTATCTCTCTATATAAGGTTGGATTTACATATACAAATGGAACTTGAGCATGATATGTGAATAGCAAATTGATCGTTATTTTAAACTTGGATTTTATATCAGAAACAGATGTAGGTCATTCAAATAAGATTCAAATATGTATAAACTGAATTGATGTAAATAAAAATGATGGTCTCCAAAAAAAAATGGTAGAGGATCTGAACAACTACTTCTCCACAGAAAACATACAGATGGTCAATAGGCATGTGAAATGATCTTCAATATTACTATTAAGCAGGGAAATGCAAATCAAAACTAGAATGAGGTATCACCTCACATCTGTCAGAATGATTTTTATCAAAACATCAACATGAAAGCAATTTTGCAGAGGATGTGGAGAAGGGAACTCTTGTGCACTGTTTTTGGGGATGTAAATTGATGCAACCAGTGTTGAAACCAGTATGGAGTTTCCTCAAAAAGTTAAAAATAGAATTACTGTAACTTTCAGCAATCTCACTTCTAGATATGTATCTGAACAGAACAAAAGCACTAATTTGAAGTATTTATTTTATTTAAAATATCACAATTGTACTATGTTTGTCACGGCATTATTCACAGTCACCAAATATGGCAACAACCAAAGAGTCCAACAATGGATAAATGGTTGAAGTTACTTATAGGTGCAAATCCAAACTCTGCTACTTGCAGCCAGGTGCCCTCCACATGTTATTTTTCTTCCCTAAGTCTCAATTTCTTCTTCTCAATTATTATTTATATATATTCCATAGAACTAATGAAGTTTAAATGAAATAATTATTCAGCTCTTTCCCTCGCATTCTTTATTTTTGTCCTTTGGTCCATACAATAAATGACCAATAAGCATAGAGTGCATCTTGGATTTCCTGAATCCCCTGTGCTGCCTAATAAATTGTTACATCCTCATTCTGACACAGTGAGTTGAAATCTGTACATACTGTACAAGTCCAGTTGTAGAATCTACCCATATTCACTCACTTGGACAAGGATGTATTGGCTTGGTGTTACTTTAGCTAGTGTATATATGAGAAAAGGTAATACAGGCATACACAAGTCATTATTTTATAATAATTTTTTAAAGTTCATTTTATTTACATTTATTTCATACATATTTTGTGGTAAAATATCCATTTTGCCCTTTCTCTGATGTTCAAAACTGCATTCACTTCCTCATTCTTCCTCTCCTTCTCTTCCTAAATCATTAGCATTAATCTCATTCAACTCTAACTTTCCCTTTTGTTATTTTTGTCACACTTTCATGCATGTATGCAGGCATACACTCATAGCTTCTCCTAATTAATTCAGAATCTTCCTTAGTGAATGACTCAGCATGACTCAGGGCCTAACAGTCACTTTGGGGAACTGATTTTAGTAGCTAGTGCATTTTCAATAGTTAACTCATCTCATACGCTAAACAAGATTCATATTTCTTCTAGTTTATTATTTTAGTCCAGCTCAGTTATAAGCATTCAGATATATGTTGGGATAGGATTTAAAATGATATTTCATTTAGCTTTAGAATGAGGAGATTCACAAGACTATAAGAAATTTCTGTAATTCAGAAGTAAAAAGAAGATTGTTGTACAGAATGAAATCTCTAAATTTCATTTGCAGAAAGAATTTGTTTAAGCAGCAGTTGCTACTGAGAAAGTCATATTATTGATGAGAGGAGGAAGATAAGAGGATCACAGAATGACAACCAGAACCAAATTGATAGCAAAGTATTTTCCCTATTTGTGTGTTATGGAATTTGGATAGTATCTGAACTATGTTCCTTTATGAAAATTGTTATTGACCCATGATGTACCTCAGTTATTAAAAGTGCACAAGAACTGAGTTATCATAAGAGATTTTTTGATATATCCTGGTGGTAGACCCCACTCAGTTCTAGTCTCAACCCCGTTTGGAGTTACTGGTCACTGGTGGTATCTCCTAGGGTCTGGCTGGAGCTTGACAGGAAACAACTGGTTTTGGTTTCTCTGGTCACCAGAGGATCAGAACAAGAAGTTATAATGGTTTGTCCTTACTTCCCCTCATTGCTTCCTGGCTTAGGTTGTGCTCTTGCATCTAGTAATAGTATATACATTTGCCTGAATTTCTTACTTCATGTTAGAGGACAGCTGTGAAAGTATGTTTGAAAATGCTTTATTACACCTTATTAAATGATAAAACTTACATTTGTATTGCCTTTCAGGATTAAAGCCATAGAGAGTCCCAACAAAGACGATGATACTCAGTGGCTGACCTATTGGGTAGTGTATGGTGTATTCAGCATTGCCGAGTTCTTCTCTGACCTCTTCCTGTCATGGTTTCCCTTCTATTACATGCTGAAGGTATGTGACTTCTCCCACAATGCTCTGTTTCCTTTCATCTATGTATTTGGTTTGATGTCTACCACTAAAATAAATTCTCAGGACCTATATCCCAGGAATAGGAACAAATGCTTGGATGTTTCACAGCTGTTGGCTATGACTCAGGTTACAAACAAGAAGGCAGGATTCAATGTGTCTAACTTTTTGTATACTGTCTTGGAAAGAGCCAAAGCAATTGTGTGTTCATGGTGTGTTTGATAAGAACAAAGGATGAACATACCATGACTAGCACAGGCATTGCTGTGGGTTTGCTCCTGGCAAAGTTCTCTACAATTGATGTGGAAACATTGCAGATTTTGCAAGGCACAGGAGTCATTCTTTTCAAAAGAAAAAAATACATATTTTTTTATGTAGGTTTGGAGAAAGAAGATGTGAACTAGGTTGTCTGAGGAAATTATTTTAATAAATTCAGCAAGTGCATAGGCAGATGTCAGGCCTGCCATACCTCGAATTTGCAGAGGATTTGCCTTAGTTACAGCCATGTGGGGAGAGGAATAGGAAATTGAAAGTCACTCCCAACAGGACCTTTGTCAACTCAGGACTTGCACCAGAGGCGATTAAGAGTGAAAGAGTTCACAACTTCTGGTAGATAGAGTGATTCTCTCTCCCTAGATGAGACAAACTGTCTTCAGTTGGCAGCTCAGATGTCTTCCATGGGAGAGGCCCTGAGTCCTATTAATTGTGTAGGATGTAAATAGTCCCTCAGGTTCACAGAGCAGGTGTTCCAAGCTGGAGAGGGTGGTGAGCTCAGCCATTGTAAATTCTGGCTTTCTTCTTCCCTTTGTACTTTTTATTTTTAATAAAAATTAAAAAATTCTTTGCACTTTTTCATTTCAATAAAAGTTACATATGACATAGTTTATAGACTGAAATATTCCTGTAAGATTTTTGAAGAAAAACATGAGTTCTGTACCTTTGCCCCCCTATGTTGCCTTCCTTAAAAGCAACCACCATTCCTTCATTTTTGGCACATTAGCTTGTCTTCACCTCTGTGTCTCTAAATAATACTCATATCAACCACTCTTTAATTTTTCCACTTCATGCAGTAACTCTTTGATTCTCCTTGAATAATAATGTTTCTCCCCTCATCCCTGCCACTCACATGCAACCTTCCCATTTTCCCATCTTCCTCAGACATCTGTGTCAGAGTCTTGATTAAATAAACAGGTATTACTTATTATGACCTTGTGAATACTGTCTAGTTGGGCTATACAGAGCGCACATAAGGTTCATGTAGTGTCCTTGCACATTTAAAAAGAATTTTCCTGGGAACTAGTAATTATTTTCTTATTTATATATTCAGACCTATTTCTAGTATCCTATTTGTTGTACTACTTTTTCTATATTTCCATTTCTTTTGTTTTAAATTTCTTATCTAAGGAAATTTAGATATAGGAAATTAGATGAAGGAAGTGCTCTCCTTCTTTGGTTTCCCTTACCCCAACAACTACATTGTTATTTTGATATTTTGATCATATATATATGTACATATATTTGTGTAATGTATTCATTTGTATTTTACTTCTTCCTAGAAAATTTTCTCAATCTTACCTTCCAGTTCTCAAGTTTCTCATACCTTACTTGACTTTTCCTATGTTTGCTTGTTCTTGTTTCTTACTGCTATATTCCTTTTAGCATAGTTAATATTTCAATTTAAAATTCTTGGTCAGTCAGTTGTAATATTTCTGCTACTAACAGAATCTGTAGTTGATTATGTTGTCTTTCTTTTGAAATGGTTGTGCTCTTCAGATATCCCCTCATTTTGGTCTAAAAGCTCATTTTCCTTCAGGTATATCAGCACCTCTGTCAAGCTCTAGAATGGGAAGGCCATCCCAGTTGTTGGCAGTAAAGAGCTCTGGGCGGATGAGTCCTATGGAGGTGTCCTAGGCAGCAGAGTAACCACAGTTCATCACTCTCCCCCACAAAAGAGCTCTTCACCTTTGCTTCCCACTCACTCCAAGCAGTATTGTGAGAGGATGCTCCTGAATTTTAATCGCAGCTCTAAGGGTTGGAGCTGGGGGCTTGCGAAGGAACTGCTTTTTAGTCCCTATGTGTATTTTCTTTCCTCACCAAAATGTCTGTTTTACCAGAAAAATATAGGAAGGTGGTTTTTAACTTGGAGGTATGAAAGTAAGACAAAAAGCAAAAGTCACAAAGATTTGAAATTTGAGTAATACAATATCTAAAAATTAAAATTTTATGTAGCCATGGCAGCATAGACAAAGTTAAAAAAAAAAAAAAGACAAAACTAGGAAGATACATTTACAGCATTTACACCAATAAGAAATTGATATCCAGGGGCCTCCCCGGTGGCGCAGCGGTTGAGCGCTGGGCTGCAAAGCTGCCCGCAGCCTTTGCAGTGCCGGTTCGATCCCCAGCTGCTCCCCAGCCACCGGAGGAGGGTTCCACATGGCACGCAGACCTCTCTCTAATGTTTAATAAATAAATAAATAAATAAATAAAGATATATATAGGGCTCCCACCCAATAAACTGGAATTCTAAGATAACTATCTCCTGTGGTATATAGAAAAGTCGGCTCAGAGAAACTGGGTTCCTGAGTTCTTCCTGCTACTTACTAGTTGGGCAAACCTTCTGCAAGTCATTTAACTGCTTGTCTTTTTGGTTCTCTAAAATAGATACTCATGAAAAATTTTTTAAAATCTACCTTATACAGAATTTGTAAGAAAATAAGCATTTGGGGCATTAGAATAGTAGGGACTTTGTATCTGTTGCAAGAATACTGTGTCTTCTACTCCAACCCATGAAATAGTAACAGACTAATTTATTAGCTTTAAAGTGGGGTAAAATTGGGCCTCCCTGGTGGTGCAAGGGGTTAAGATGCAACCTATAAAGATGTCTGCAGCCACTGCAGCACAAATTTGATCCCCTGGCCAGCCAGGGAGAAACCCACATGGTCCAGCAGACCTCTCCTGTCTCGCCTGCTACTCCCCTCAGCAGTGTATTTCAGTCAGTCTGCCTGTTCTGTTCCCCACTCTGTCTCTGGTGGATCCTCTCACCCCCCACACCTCTGGCCTGTACTCCAGCTCTTGTCTGCATAAATAAATAAATCTTTAAAAAAATAATTAAATAAAGTGGGTAAAATCAAATCATGAAACAAGATGCCCTTTTTTATACAAATATTTTGACTCTCCTTTTACTACCTGAAATGACATTCAATGTGCTTCTATATTTATACACATAATTATCAAAAAAAATCAATGTAATACTCCAACTATAATATAAAGGAAACAAAGTGAAAATAAGTAATAAACAATATATATTTCAGTATATAAGTGTTCAAACCAAAATATGCTAAAAAACACCATAAAATATCCTTAAGTAGAATCAGTGACTGTAGTGGCTACAAACAAGATTTCCTACATATATTTCCAAATGGTTGAGACTATCTAGACTAGAGAGCCCACACAGCCTGCTTTCCATATCAGAACACCCAACCAAACACACTCACTGCCACTATCTCCCACTTAGGGTTTTAAGCCAGCCCTCCCTGCTTCATCTCTCCTACTCCTGATGTCTGACAGCCGCCAAGACTGGTTTACTGAACACAGCAACTGGAAAACAGAATATTCAGTTAGGATTACAAAGTGGGGGTGGGGGGTGGGAAGCATGGCAGTAGGAATGGCAAGGATTCAGACTGGTCATCTCCTAGTTACACTAACACGTATAGAAATATGCAACCATGCAAAAACTCCATGAGCCCTCACAGATAAACAATGGTGTTAAAACATTCAAGCACTTAAATGAAGCTCCCTCCTTGAAGGACCCTCAGTACTTCAGTAGGTGCGGGTAGTTCATATTTACTGTCCGTTTTCCCAGTGATTCTACTCTAGCACCTTTTGGGCTTGGCCAGCTATCTCAGTGAATTTTGAGATGTTGCCAGGGAGAACCTTGGTTTTTTGATCTATACATCTACATTAACACAAAATGGAGAACTAAGTGACTGCATTGTTCACCGGTTTTAGTATTCATTTCCTCTGCTGAAAGCCAGGTCAATTAGACTTTGCCGACCATGAATCATTGCTGAATGGTTGATATCTATATAAGTAGATAATATTTTAGAGATTTTCAACAACTATAGGATTTAGTAACACTACTACTATCTTATATACTTTAAGTACATTAATTTGTGACTTTCTTAAAATCCTGGAGAAGAGAAACCTGACTCTTAGAGAGGGTAGTTAACATATCTAAAATCATAAAGCAGACTCCAACTGTCCTGATTCATAACAAGAATGAGTCATTTCTACTTTACTCCGATGCCTATATTATCTGCTTATATAGATATCAACCATTCAGCAATGATTCTTTCACCTTCTCTGAATGGATTAAGCAGATGATGAGAGGGACCAGACTCAACTGCCTGCATTTTCATACTTCTCCACTGTGATTGCTCTGTAGGCTACCGTCCAACTAATTTAGTTCTTTCCAGTACTCTCTAGCTATTGCCTTGACACAGTAAAATAATTACTGCTTTCTACTTACATCCTTAGCATTTTCCAGTTCTCAAATGAATAATTTCCTTATATTAATAATAAAGTTAATTACTGCTCAACTCTCAGGTGATATTCAGTCACCAGCTTTTCAGCTCCCTCTTCTTAATCTATGTCACTATCCTACAGCCCAAAGTGCCAGCCGATGATATACCAACAAGCCACTCTTACCAGCAGATCAACAAAGAGTCTGGCAATTCTTGGACTCTAGACTGTATTAGCACTAACATACTCACTCCTTGCATGAATGATGACAATAGGCCGGATAATTCTGTCACTATCTGATTTTCCTTCAGAGAGGTATTTCCAAGGTAGGATTATGCTTAACATATACAGTATAGGACTAGCTGCGCAGAACCAAGAGTTAATATTAGAAAAATCCTTCTGATACACTACAATTACTTTATTAGACTATAAGTCTTAGGAAATCTTTGCACTGCAGCCACATG